TTTGCTTTATTCAAACGTTAGACTAACATCTTTTGCAAAAGGCATTCCTAACAATATATTATGCTTTGTCTAGCCTAGCAGCATTATGAAGAAATAGCCTAAAACTTATTGCCTAGCTATCTAAATGCGCTTTCTTATTTCTCTTAGAAATCTAATTAAACGCTTTGTGTAATAGGCTAACAAGTAGACCTTTGTTAGCTTATAGGCAAGCCTATAGCAATTAGCATATTTTGCAGAGACAATATTTGCCTTTAAGCTAGTATTAAGAATAGCTTAAATTGCTGCTAATTTTTCTAAAGGTCTAACCTAAACATACATTATAGGTAAGGCGTGGATTTTTATAGCAGAGGCACCTATTAAGGTAATGCAAGTGTTTATATCATTGTGATTAGAAAGTCTTACTAGGTTAATATCTAGGACTTTCCTTTTGTCATCTTTAATCTCTATTATACTATTGTTCTAAAAGCTTAACCTAGAGACTGCTAGCTTTAATAACTCTGTTATGGTAGTTAAGGCTAAGGTCTAAATGCCTTTCTTTCCATCTTTAAGCTTTAAATGCTCTAGTTAAATCTTATCAATATAAAGGACTGCCTTAGCTTTTACCCTAAGGTTGGCGATATAGCTTTTTAAAGCTATGGCAAACCTAAGGCAAAGTCTAATTAGGTTGGTGACATTGACTTTTATATTTTGCTTGAGGAATTTGTTTAGAAGCTTTCTAGTCTTTTCTTTTACTCCTAGGGTAGGCTGCAAGGTTAAGGTTGCTGCTAGCTTTTCTATAGCCTAATTACATAGGTTAGCTAAGTCTAAGCTTTTAGGCTCTGTTGAATCTACTCTAGCAGCTGCATCTTTAGCTAGTAAGTCTTTATATTCTAATAGGTAGGCAGTGCTATTACTTAGGCAGCATTGTTTTGCTTGCAATGCAAAAATTAAAAGTAGTCTCTGCCTTAATTTTAGCATAACAAAGTCTAGATTAGGCTAGTTTGTCTTTTTATACTTAACCTAGTCTTTTCTTGCATAGTTAATTAGAGGTTCTAAGCAAGCTAACTCTAACTATACTAATAGGCTTTTTAGGTTGACTAGTAGTAAGGTTTTTAGCATATAGCTGCTAAGGAGATTTATCTAGAATTTATAATCTAAGTTGCATTTTATAAACTCTTTTAGCACTTTCCCTTTTAGCTTGTCAATGTAAATCCTTACAAAAGCCTTAATTACCTTGCCAATCTTGTTAACTTGCTTCCTATTTTCAAATAAGGTTTTTAGAAAGACTTTGCCTTAGGCTTCTGCATAGCCTATCTATAAATTGTTGTCTTCTATAACATATACTAGGCTTTTGTAAATGTTGTGATTAAGCCTTGCATAGCAGTTGTATATATGCCTAGCTATGCTATAGTAAAAGCATACTAATAGCATATACTAGCTATTTTAGAGTTGGTTGTAATTAAAGGTCTTTCTAAAGTAACAGTCTGTCTAATTGTAGCTTTAATTATAGCCTTGTAGCTAATCTGCATAACCTTGCAGCTAACAGTAGCTTTGTAGTCTCTAGGAATACTAAGTGTTAGTGTTAACAACCTTAGCATAGTTGGTGTTAGCCTATTAATACCTTTCTATTAGCCTAGTTTGAATGTCAAGCTTGCTAATTAGCTAGCTAAGCAGCTAGTTGTTTTTCTTGTAGGTTTAAAGGTTGTTAATCTTGAATTTTTCAAACTCTTTAATTATATTATCTATATAAAAGTCCTTCTGCAGCTTCTAGGCTTTTATAAAGGCTGGTTTTTCTGTCTTAGTCTTTAGAGTTGACTCTTTAAAAGCAACCTTCTTTTCTTTCTTTGCTAGGCGCTTTACTAGCTTTTTGTCTACGCTAGCGTCTAACTAGTCTGTCAAATAATTAGAGTCTAAGATGCTTTAGCTGCTAGTATTGTTGATTTGGTTTTTAATCTTGTCGTTAGCTTATTTCTAAAGCTTATCTGCTAGCTTGTTTTACAGGAGGTTTTTAGAAGATGTCTCTTTTAAAGCAAATCGGTTGCATAGGTTTGCTTTCTTCTAATTAGAAAGCTTCTAATAAAACTACTTGGTTAAGTCTTTATTATCTTGAGTCTTGCTAGCCTTTGTGATAAGATAGTTATGCTTTGCAATTGCTGCTAACAATTTGTAGGTGCCTAATCTAATCTTCTTCTAGTAAAAGTTAAGAAGCTTGGTTTAGAGATTAGAGTTTAACTTAAAGTCTTGACTGCTTTATTGCAACTTTATTGCCTTTACGTTTTTTTTCTAAGTCTTATGCTTTAGGACTATCTTTATAATAGTATGCAGCTTTTTCTTTATATAGTGCTTAGTCTATCTCTTCTTTTGCTTGTCTGTAAGCTAGCTTTAATTAGCGTGTAAGCTAAAGATTTCTAGGAATTCTAAGATATTCTTGCCATTAAAGATTGTGATTTCCTCTTGCAAAGGCATTAAAGGCATTGACTTGACCTAATATTAAAAGCCTGCTATTAGGGAAGGTTTTGCTATAGGGGAAGGTTTTGCTATAGAGAAAGGCATTGCTATTCTTAAAGGTATTAGAGTCTAATCTTGTAGCAAGCTAGAAGTAAGTTGACGTAATAGAAAGAGAGTAGGCTGCCTTGAAGAATTAGAATCTTTAGTAAAAGCCTGTATGACTTGCAAGGTAAATAACTGCTTAAACTTCCTCTTTTTGTAATTTGGTCTAATTTCCTTTGCCTGCAGAAAGCTTATTGTCTAATTCTTGCTTTTCTAGTCTCTATAAAAGTGGCTTGCCTTTTCTAGATATCTGATTAGAGGCTTTAGGTTCTTTGCAATAGCCTATCTCTACAATTCTAGGTCTTTAATAAATACTAGGATGCTTTTTAGGCTTCTTATGCTAAGAAATATAAACCACAGCAATATTATTACTGCTCTAGCCTAAACGTAGACTTCTGCGTTATTACTAATCATAAGTCTTTTCTTTACTACTTTTTAAACTAGAAAGTCTTCTTTCTTAGATTCCTCTTTTAGGCAATTCTTTCCTGTCTTAACATTCTAGCGCCTCTTTGCGCATACATTAGCTTTCTTAGCAACTGACTAATTGGTTTGTACTAGCCGGTTTTTAGGCTTTAGAATAGGTTGTCTAGTCTAGGCCTTACTAGCCTTTGGCTTTCCTAACTTTCTTATCATAGCTCTTGGCTTCAATCCTTGTCTTTTCTCTCTTTCTAATCCTAGCACTTGTCTAATTATACTCTCTTTCTTAACATGCTATTCTTTTTGGCCAATTAGGTAACTCTAGGTTTATATTATCTTATCCTGTGATTTTCTAGAAAAGGAAAGAGAAAAGGGAAAAGAGTTTCAATGCTACTTTAGCATAATTAAGAGTCTTCTTTGCTTAACGCTTAGTTGCCTTGGCAACGCAGAAAGCTAGTTGCTTTGCAAAATAAGGAAGCTACTGCTTCTAGAGCATCTTTGTATTTGGTTTGTGACAAAAGAAAGGAGTGTACTGACTAGAAGCCTTTAGGGTCAAGCAGGTGCCTTGGCTTTTCTTGTAGTTGCGTGGTTTGATTAGACTGTAGCCTTTTGGTAGGCCTTTTAAATCAATCCTAGATTGCCCCCCAAATATAAAAAGAAGAGACACAAAACTACCTACCTATCTACCTCTCAACGTAGTATACTGCTGCTAAAGCATAGGCTCTAATAGCAGTAGCTATGTGATTGGCTGGCAGGCAGATAGAATTGTGCTTTTTCCTTACCTCTAGCGCATGTGACTGGTTAGGTAACCCTGATTAGCCTTGATATGTCTTGCAGTAGTGCTTAAATCTAGTCGTGTAAGTAAGGTAGGAAAACGCTAGCAGCGTAATCAATTGAATTAAAGGCGTAAGGAAGGAATAGAATGCGGTAAATCAAGTATTATTGCATAAAAAGCTTAGAAATAACTAAGGTGTAAAGAGTGCTGCTTGTAAATCTGTGTAAGTCTGCGTAATTGATAATAATCTTACAATTTGAGGCCCTGATTGCGCTCTTATATGGAAGCGCAGAAAATCCGGTCCGAAGCTGACTCATCCTAGCCTAAAGCGGTCCGTGCCTTTTCCATTCACCACGTCACTAGCAACGACAAAGATCCCTATAGCTAGGTTTAGCCCTTGCTAGGCTCAATCAACGTCAGCCCTGACAAGTCTAACAGCAACCCTAACAACCCTAACGCAGTATACAAGGTAAAGCAGCTAGTTAGGAAGCGAAAGGTCAAGATTAGCCGCAGCCACATAGCTACAACTCAATACCTAATCAAGTGGAAAGGTTAAAGCTACAAGTATAACAAGTGGAAAAAGGTAGCAGATCTAAACCACTCACAACGCTTTATTGACAAATATAAGGCTAGGGCAGGCAAGCTTCCTACTAAGAAAACCAAAGGCTAGAAGGCCAAAGCCTCCAAGGCTACAAAGCTAGCTACTAAGCCAACCAAAGGACTAGCAAAGCTAGCCACTAAGCCGCATATACAGCAATCAAGCCATCGCACGCAACAAGCCTGACTTACAAGAACGTTAGCAGTCAATTTAACATTAGCACGTGACTCATTTTAAGCCAATTACGTGTCCTGTTAGTTCTAGGATTAGAAGAAAATTAATCTATTATATCGGAATTAATCCTAGGAAATTGACGATTTTGGCGCTGTAGAATCCAGCCCTTTAAACCATTCAAAGGCATCTAGATTCACAATATTTGTACAATCAGATAATCTCTAGATTTTTTAGTAGTGGTGGCCTGACTAGTTAGGCCAATTGGGCCTCCACCAATGGCAGCATTGCCATGTGACACCTGAGGGCAGGTGGATCCTTTTTCAAGCCTGGCATATTGATGCGTGGGGCTTGGTGGGGTAGAAAGGATGGTTTCTACTGGCTGTAAATAGACAGTGAGGGCAGGGCCTGAAGTGGCCCCGGGGGCCTGTGACCTGGCCTGTGCGCCAGCGTGGGTCAGTCAAAGCCTACGCGCCCTCTGCGTAGAAACCACCGAATATCAACACCACTTTTACTTCGTACAATATCACAAGATTGCTATTGAAGTAGCCCCCTGCCAACGCGCCAAGGGACCAATTTGACCTGGCCGAGTAATTCTGACAGCCGACGGAACGGGAAATTCATTTTGTCGTCGGGGAAGGCATATATCATCCCGAACCGTGGGCCGTGGAGGATTTCGTGCGAGAAACCGATGCTGTGATGGCAGCGAAATGGGGCGGCCTTTTGCTCTCCGTGTAAAGCAGAGATCCTCGCAACTTGTCGGGCGGTTCTGGAGAAACTCTCGCCATCTACGCTCTCATAGTAGATGTATTCGACGAGTACAGGGGTTCCCTGCCGTCTCCCGATGCGGAATATGGACCGGCTACGACGAAACCCCAACGCAGAAGATGAGCGTAATCAGCGTCATGCTTTCAATTCTCCGTTAAAGAGATTGCCGCGAGCTCCCGCTTCGGGCAGACGGAACAAGCCTGGCAAGGATGTCAGGCCTAGCACGCCTGACATGCCTAACCCACCTAGCACCCCTGATACACCTGGCAGGACCGGCACACCTAAGACGACGCAGACATCTCACCGCTTTACGCAGGCGGTCAAAGGCGTTTGCAGTACCCTAAAAACTTCGGCCGACCTTATCGAAAGCATTAAGATCCGAGAAAAAGTTGGCAAAAGCCGCTTTCGCTTTTCTGGGTTTGGGAAGCCGACATTGACCGGCGAAGCACGGGAGCTCCACAATGCTCTGCGGAATGCCCAAAAAAGTATCATCAATGACATCGCCACGCTGCGGCAGCAGGCCACGCTGCGGCAGCAGCATGGTGTTCAGGCAGAAGGAGATGGTAATTAACAGAAGATTTTTCCATCTCAATCACCTACTAACGATTGATCGCTAACCTTTTCCCCGCCGACAGAAAAAGCTATGAATGACATTCTCCCCATTGGCGGGCAGGCGCAAACCGACATCCAGCAAGCTTTGCAGGAGGCTCTCGACGCAGCTGGTGCAGGTCAGTAGGACGACGAATTTTACAAGGAAATCAGACCAGCTGTAGCAAAACTTCTTTCGGATACGAAGAATACTATCAACGGTCTTAAAGAGAGGCTGACAGCTGGGAAGACTGAAGAATTAGAGGAGAATACTGATAGTTAAGGGCTATGAAGACTAACCAGCGATCAAAAAGATGCTCACTTTAGTTGTTTCTGTTATATAAAGCTAGTAGTTTTAGTTCCAATAGGCAGATTGTTCTGAATGGGAAGACCTAAGCGAGTATACGATGCGAGAAAGCAAAATCTTTCCACGAACATGTCAGTGGTGCTAGATGTAATGATGGAAATCGAACTTCAGGAGTTCAAATGTCTGCTCCTTCAGTGGGTCCGCATGCCGAGATACGTTAGGACAGAGTGTACCCGATGGAGCTTTCACAAGCAATTCGTGACGTTGCTAGACTACGGCGGGACCTGGCAGATGCTGATAACCGCGTTGCGTTACTCTTGGAAAATCATGCACAGAATGAGGACGAGTGAGTTGTGGAGAGTCTATTGAGAAAACTATGCCTTCCATAGCAAATTCCCTGACTGACGATGTGGCTTGGCTTGCTTAGCTTGATGCGGCTTGCCTGTTGGCGATAGTGTTAAATATTCTAGGATTCAGCTACGTAATTAGGCACTAGCTACAAAGATCTGCATCGTGTGGATTGTCTGGCCGCATGGGAGGTGGGAGGTTGGGATGGACAGGTCGCGTCTTTCGACCGCATCAAAGGCGTCTCGACATCAAAGTTCTAGGCGGGCCGAGAAAATGATCAAATGGGGTGGCATAGTTGAAGGCTGGCTGGTACGCTATGGAACCATGGGGAATAGATAATTCGATGTGCATATCACTGGCTAAGAAGATAATTACCGCCTCTCCTTTCCCTTACCTGTGGGCTCACTCGGCCCTTGGTTGAGTATCTTCGCTGTCTACCCAGTTTCCATGCAACCCCTGCCTCAACCGGATAGGCAGCAAGATTACCGCCTGGGCTTTAGTGAAGTCCCTCGTGTCCAAGAGATGCAACTCGCTAGACATAGATGCGTAGTTGTTCACCAGTGCCAAGATGTAACCGTCTCCTTCCTCAGTAGATCCGCGGCGAGGAATGAACACCGGCTCCTGCACCATATGTGTCCGGCCGGGAAAGTATATCTCCGTCTGACGAGTGACAATGTCCAAGTGCGCCAGCGAATTATATAGCGGGTAGCCACCACCTAGCTGAGGCGCGATGGCGGGGAAATCTGTGCCCAGGGCTGGGTCCATTAGATCGAAATAGCAATGACGGTACACTTGAGTCGAGAAGCGATCGTCGATTCGGTAGAACTCCGAGTTGTTACTCTGGAGAATCTCGGCATTGGCCAACTCAAGGTTCGGTGATGACGGGTCGATCGTGAATCGAGTCAACTGGGAATGGATTGAGCTGGGCTCTGGAGCGTTTCCCTGGGCATCGGGCCACCAGAAAAACACGTTCTTCTCGCTTAGGCCGAGATCCAATATGATGTTTCCAGACTTATCCTCGTATGCGTTGGCTGTGTGTCCTGGAAAGGAGTTTCTGTAGCGGAACCACTGCACGTGAATTAGTTAGTTAGACTAGGTAGCTTGTGAGGGCTTGTTTTCCCGTATACTAACTTTGATATCGGTGGGCTTTGCTCCCTTTCTTGGGAGGACGCCGAGGTAGAATGGAGTCTCGGGACTCCACTGCCAATGCTCCCCGCCTTTTTTCATCCGCTCAATGTCGCAAAGCTGCGGGATGAGAGGGAAAACGACCTACAATAGCAGTGATCACGACTTAGAACACTTCCATGGTCGTTTGTATCGGAGAGAGGGTACTTACCCAGTTATCTGTGACGGCAAAGTCGTGGATCATGGCAACAACAGGTGCACACAACCACACAACCTCCAAGAATTTCCCGTCTGGGCCAATGCGATAATAGCAGACATCTGGAGTACCATCACCCTTAGCTTCGTATCCGAAGCAGATCATGTCGCCTGTTCTTGGATCGAATTTCGGGTGCGCCGTGAAAGTCAAACTGGGAAGCTGGCCGTCAAAGGTGTATAGGCCATGCGTCTCCAAGGTCTGAGGGTCTATGGCATAAGGGGGTGCATCTTCCTTAAGCGCCAGCAGTTTGCCGTTGAAATAGACGACATTTGTGTTGGCCGTGGTGCGAACTTTGAACTCCACAGCGTCGGTGTACTTGTTGCGGTATTTACCTAGGGAAACGGTTGGCTTTTGCGCCGAACGGACAAAGAAACCGCGAGGAGTCACTTCAACTTACCAAGGAGTGCCCGTTGGGCGTCTCTTTCACGGGTAAATTTCTCTGTTCGCACGTACCGCTGCTTGAAGGAGGCCTGGCCGTCCTTGATTCTGAAGGCGCTGATGTTGCCGTCGCCGTTAAACCACTGCCGCCACAGTCAGTATCTGGATATCGTGCAGGGCGGTCTGTTGAACAAGGAGCTTGGCAATACTGGATCATCTTCAATGAACGGCGAAAACTGAGGATCGGGCATGACGCGGTAAAACGTCCCGTCAATGTCTGCCGGGATCTCGCCGTAAACCTCGAGGTTTTGGATTTCTCCTTCGACCCGGCAGGGTTTCATGAACCCGGAGAACTGCGGGCGGTCGGGGAAGTGCAGAAGTGGTTTTTGGGAGGTTGAGGGGGCTGACATGGTTGATTGATTATCTCTTTGTTGGATACCTAATGAGAAGAGGATCTACGCTGCAGCAGGACCAAGGTAGAGAAGCGAATAGTCAACTGAACAATTATGCGCCGGTGTTGCAAGGAAACTCTGCATGGTAGCTTGGATTTATAAGATGGACTCCGCGTGTCAGCCATGGTTCCCTCGCGTAAGGCGGGGATGCGGGTGTAGCATTATGCCCGCTCTTGTCCCTTCGCCAATTGTGAACTAGTCCCAAGGATGTATGTACATTGCTCCACTAAGGCGGTGTTTATTTCCGAGGTTCCCCGGTTTCCCCGGTTAGCCGAGAAAACTGCCGGTGCGGGGAACTTTCCAGCCACTCGTGTGAGGGGCAATGGTTGTTGTCGTTGGGGAAAGTGGCCTGGTGGGTAGGTCATAGCATATAATCCATTCTTGGTTGGACGGATAGGTCAGACTGGAAAGAGCCGCCTTGCAAAGCGAGGTTTTTGGGCTCATAGTATATATATATCGTAGTTCGCTTGGTCGGTTTCGTTCGCAAAAAGAATGCATGTAGTAGAGAGTATCCGAGTAGTTTAGCTATTATTTTTCTGTCCAACCCCCTTGCCAGGTTAGACATTCATCCCATGTGAAGATGGAGAGGTGTGTGTGTGTGTTTGGTGGGGGGGGGGGGGGGGGGGGGGGTGACGCGGGCAAGCAACGGGGAGCAAAAAAGTAGACGTGTTTACCCCCGGTTCACCCCCTGGAGAGAAAAAAACTGAAGACCA